CGCCTTCGTCCCCCTCCAGCGGCGGCGGCGTCGTGCGGGGCTCAGCCGGCACTGCAGCGGCCGGAGCGCAAGGTGGCGGTGGCGCTGCCAGCGGCGGTGCAACCGGTGGCGGCGCCAGCGGACCTCCACCAGCGGGCGGGGCCACAGCAGCCTGGGATACCTGCGAGACGGACTCATCAGACGAGTCGGCAGCACCGTCGGGGCCGTCCTCGCCACCCACAACTCGCTGAGCAGCGAAAGTGCCGGATGCCACGTGCTGTAGCTCACGATGTCGGGCTCCAGCTTCACCACCCACATGTCGCTGAGCAGCGATCGGGCCGGCTGCCACTGCTCGTCCTCCTCGCTCGCAGCTCGGAGGCGGCCCCGACGGCAGCTTCGGCCACCACATCGGCGCGGCGGCAGCTGGGGGCGGCAGCGCGGCGGGCACCCAGTACCGCGCAGCCGGCACCGAGCCTGCGGAGCACTTGACGTGCGCATGGGCGTCGCTGGCGGCGGCGGCGCGCTCCAGCACCGGCTCGGGCTCGGCCGCCCGACGATCATCATGATCATCATGTCTATGGCCTGCACGGCCGCCAGCTGCGGGAACGGTACGAGCAGCCACTCGAGCGAGACTGGCCACGTTGCTCATGAGCGGCCGGCGGCCAACGCGGGCCGCGAAGCCGAGCCTGCGCACAGCGGCGCGCAGGCTCGGTCTCGGCCGGTCGCCATGGCGCCAGCCGGAAGAGGCTCGTGGGGCGCGGCCAGCCCGCCGCTCGCCTGGGCAGGGCGCGGCGAGGCGGCCGGCGCGCATGGCAGCTGCCCGGCGCGCGAGGTGCACTGCTCCTGTGGCAGTCCCAAACACCTCGGGCACGGGCGGTGGCTAGGGAGGGAGGGAGGGAGGGAGGGAGGGAGGGAGGGAGGGAGGGGAGCAGGATGGGAGGGAGGGGAGGGCGAGGGAAGAAGGAGGGAGGGATGGAGGGGAGGAGGGGAGGGAGGGGAGCAGGAGGGAGGGACGGGGAGGGGAGGGGAGGGGAGGAGGCACCCGTCTCGCCCCGCCCCCCGCCCCAGGGTAGCCACCCCCGGGCCTTCGGTCGGCCGGGCCTCGGCCGTCGCACCCGCCATGTCCGCGAGCGGCTACCTGCAGCGGCGGAGCACGCGGCTGAGCCGGGCGGCGGCGCTGGGCAGCGCGGAGGGCGCCTCGCACCTGGGCGGGCGGGCGGAGGAGGGAGGGCGAAACACGGGGCGTAGGAGGGAGGAGGGAGGATAAGGATGATGATGATGATGCTGATGATGATGCTGATGACGATGACGATGACGATGACGATGACGATGATGATGATGATGATGATGATGATGATGATGATGATGATGATGATGATGATGATGATGATGATGATGATGATGATGATGATGATGATGCTGATGCTGATGCTGATGCTGTGCTGATGCTGATGTGATGCTGATGCTGATGCTGATGCTGATGCTGATGATGATGATGATGCTCCTGCTGATGATGATGATGCTGATGATGATGATGATGATGATGATGATGATGATGATGATGAGATGAATGAGATGAGATGATGATGATGATGATGATGATGATGATGATGAGATGATGTTGATGATATGATGATGATGCTGATGATGCTGCTGCTGATGATGATGATGGTGATGATGGTGATGATGGTGATGATGGTGATGATGATGATGCTGATGATGATGCTGACGATGATGCTGCTGCTGCTGATAATGATGATGTTGCTGCTGCTAATGATGATGATGTTGATGATATGATGATGCTGATGATGATGCTGCTGATGATGATGATGATGCTAATGATGGTGATGATGATGGTGATGATGGTGATGATGCTGATGATGATGATGATGATGATGATGATGATGATGATGATGATGATGATGATGATGCTGAGGATGCTGATTCTGATGATGATGCTGCTGATGATGATGAGGAGGAGGAGAAAAGAAGGATGATGATGATGATGAGGAGAAGGAGGACCAGTGGAACCACAAGACTCATCAGCGGTGTTGCAATACTCTTCCCGTCAAATTCCCCTGCCATCGGCGCCTGTATGTATTCATTTCCACTGCGGGGAGAGCCCCGTTGGAAGACAACCGTCTGAAAATTTTCCACTGTGCCAGAGCACCATTCCTGGGACTTCAACGCCGCGAATCCGCGTTACTGTTGCGACCCGACGATCCGAAATCGAGCCATGACATCATTTCTGGGACGTCAGCAACGCGAATCAAATGGACTGTCGTCACCTGACAATCCTAAGACGTGCCAAGACATCATGTCTGGGACGTCATCCATAATGCTCCTTGGCATGGTTCCGAATTCTGAAAGGCGAATGTGCGCGGCGCTAATGCGAGAACCACATTTTGAAAAGGAACCACCCTCCATCCGCGAAGCTCTTGCAAACTTTAAGACGAATGCTCGCAGCGCTAAGGCGGGAGCCGTATTGTGAAAACCACCCGCCCTCCATCTTTGAAGCTAGTACGAGCTTTCAAGACGAATGTACTTGGCGCTAAGGCGAGATCCACATTTTGAAAGCGATCCGCCCTCCATCCGTGAAGCTGTTGCCAATTTCAAGTTTCAGGAACAGATGGTGGGGTCTCAGGCGAAACGCCTGGCCCGCCCTACGGGCCCGTCTCGGGGTGCGACGGGAGTTATTAAGGAAGAGGGATGGCGGAGGGGCAAGGATGGTGGAGGAAGAGGAGGAGGAGGAGGAGGAGGAGGAGGAGGAGGAGGAGGAGGAGGAGGAGGAGGAGGAGGAGGAGGAGGAGGAGGAGGAGGAGGAGGGAGGAGGAGGAGGAGGGGAGGAGGAGGAGGAGGAGAGAGGAGGAGGAGGAGGAGGAGGCAGGAGGGACCTGTTGCTAATGTGACTCAGCGAGGCTCCGCGAAAGCTGGGAAATCGACGGCCCATCTCCTCCGGGGCTGCATCTGCACGCGCAGAGCGTTCACGCCCG